GCCGAAAGTTCCGATGCTCCAAGGCGGAGGCTCCCGGTAGAAATTGCGGGATTTGCGTTTTCACCCCCTTAATATCTGACCAATGGGTTGGAAATAGCATTTCCGTGCACATGACTTGTGTTTAAAGTTTATAGTCCGTTTGAGTTTTGCCCGTGTGAACGCAAACCGAAACCTTCTGAAGAATGAAACAATGTAACAAACTGTGGTCTGGTGTGCACCAGAGAAAGCCGGCTATTAGGTGTGGAATGCCACCCTAACACAGAAAAGACCTGTCCTATGCCTGCCCAAAACGCCCTCGTTGGAGATTATCGTTTTTTCCATATTTTCTTCCTGGGTTCTGTGACGTGTGAATAACCCAAATAAAAAATACGGATTGGCCAAATGGACCAACCCGCGGAGCACCCTCACCACACCAGGACTCCCTTGGCTAACTAACAGGGAGTCCCATTGACTTGCATAGAGCTCCCTGAAGCCTGTTAATAGACGAGTTGGGATCGCGGAGAATATGCTCTCCGCAGGGACCCATTCTCACAGCGTTAACTTTTTAAAAACCTTTTTCTTACTCCTATTCAGGCACACTTATTGTTTTTAATTCAGCTATGAGTGTTTGTCTGTTGCTCAGGATGAGTTTAGCTTGTCTCGCTGTATCGCCACCCGAAACCTCGCAGCAGCTGCGAGCAGCAACGAGCAGCAATGAGCCTCCGCAACGTTCCCGACCAATCAGAGCAACACTGGGCCTCACAGGGAGGGGGGGGGGCAGGAGCTCAAAGAAGCCGTTAGGACAGAGACGTGAAATACCTGGTGAATACACATACTTTACAGAGATGCTGTATGAGGAAACCAATGTTGAGTTTGGAAATTGCTCACAATTTAAATCTTTTCTAGTAAGACCTCCAACAATGGAATTACCTGATCAGTAGAAATGGCCCATGTCATGGGGACCTTTAAGGCTGTGATAATGCATATGGCATACATTTGGGTAAAGCTTGTGAGTCCTTTATATTTTTAATGGAAATTTGGATGGAAGTGGGTTTTCCAAACACCAACACGACATCAATGACCCTTAAGTCAATTCGTTCCCATTGAAACCCATTAAAAACCACTGTCTTTGAATTCCCCCCACAAACCATTACAGCGTAACATAATGGATTACATTAAAGCTTTCAGTGGTCCATGGGTGCCCCCTAGTGGTCTGTGAGTATTTGGGTAACATTTCACACTGTGGTATCTAAAATTGTTTAAATTAAATGGAACCAGTGTACATAATTAACTTGTGTTTAATGTTAAATTCATGTTAAACTTGGGCCTGCAAACATAGTTTTACTGTATTTTATTTTGAAAATCCACAGCGGAGGTTGTACTACATGCGTTGTATTTTGCATTTCTCTCAGCAGCCAACGATCTGTGAGTCGGCTCGGACATAAACTCCGTAATAAAAGGAGTCTACATTTCATATGAGGTGTAAAACCTATGGGCATTTTAAATCGCATTTGAAGTAAATGCTTGTAGAATCTGTAGTTGTATTTGTATTGTTGATTTAATGTGTGAACGAGGCGATATAGAGAAGGTTAAGCTGTCATTATTAGGCTGTAATTTGTTACTGTTGGAGTGGTAAGCAGGCCTATTGTTTTTGGATATTTGGGGAGTTTGGTGGTCTGTGTGTGTTTTTTGTATTGGTTAAGTGGTCCTTGGTATGAAAAAGTTGGAGAAAAACTGCACTATAACAATAAGCAGCACTGTATGGTAAACAAGAAATGGTGATATTCATTATATGTTTGCTGGCTTTGGCTCTGGAGGTAGATGGCAAGCATCCAATTGGAATATTGATGGTTTGATCCACAGCCCCTCAGTCAACATGCTGCTGTGACGGCAAACTTAACCCTAAATTACTCCTGATGGACAACTGTGTGTCAATGTAAGTCTCCCTGAGCAGGTTGCACCTTGCATGGCAACTTCTTATTCTTTATGAGGATCCCCGTTAGCACTAGCATGAGCATTGGCTATTCTTTCTGTGAAATGTTATGTATGTTTTGACACACAGTCAAACATACATAAAATAAAACTTAAACAAAACAGCTCATTATTTCGTGCAATTGACAATTCAATATGAAGTGAAAACTAAAATAATAATAATAATGCTATTTTAACCATCTTAAAGCCAAACAAACAGAAATACAAATAATTGTACATAATTATACATAGCCACAGGAACAGTTCACTTTTGCTTTATCATGCTGAGAGGTTTTCTCAGTAACCTTTTGAATTTTACATTATAATTCTTGTGAATGATGTGGACCTCTGCCTCTAAGAATGTGGGTAAATAAGTGAATGCTGATTTTTATATGTAAAATTGCTATATAAATGCAGTCCATTTAAAGGTCCCATGTCATGCTTTTCCGGTTATTACCCGTCCCCTTGTGTGTTATGTAGCTTTTTCTGCATGTAAACGGTCTGCAGAGTCAAAAACCCTCAAAGCACACCCTGTACAACTCTAACACAATACCTGTCTATGCTGCCCCATAACGCCTCGTTGGACATTTTAATTTTTATTTCTGGGTACAGTGACTTGACCATGCCCAAGTCCAAATGGACCAATCCGTGGAGCTCCTCACACACACACTCACTCAGCCGTATCTTTTCTCAGCCGCGATACTCCGCGGAGTTTCGCCGGCACACTCAACCTTATCTTTTCTCAGCCGCAGCTGCGTGGATCTCCACTCACAGTTCGCCTCACACACTCACGTGTGTGTGCTCAGGCTGAGTTCAGGCTGAGTTTCGCGCTGTCTCGCAGCAACCAGGACGTGACACCAGTAATACAGCTCACACTGTCGGCTCCTCGAGTCCCAAAGGGCGGAGCAGCGAGCACCGCAACGTCCCGCCAACACGGCACCCAGACCCCACGCAGCATTCTCATCTGTTTTTCATTACTGGTGTCATTTTCTGGTTGCTAACAAACGCCATTGTAACACACACATCAGAGCACAGTGGGCTCATAGGGAGGGAGGGGGGGAAACGAATGTTGTCACAAAGAGTTTGAAAAAGTATGGTTCCTGGTGAATTAGTTAATGTTTTGTGAGCGCCTGGTGGATTGAGGTGTTTATAGTTTTTGCGTAGCAAAAGATCTTGTCTAAGTTTAGCGGACTTTTACCATGTTTGTTAACCGTTTGTACACACTACTTCCACAACGAAGACCCGAATCATAGTACGGTTCAGCTTTCACTTTGAATTGGAGCGAGGTAACGCCTCTATAAGACGCTCTCACGCCTTTTGAAATGTAACATAAATAAAAGCTAAATACTTTAAAAATGGTTATATGAGCTGCCTCGGTGATCCCTCACAAGTGCCTGGTGTGAAACTCTCGTGACCAAATGTTGTTACGGTTCTGCTACTGTCTAACATAGATCGTTTCTGTTTACTGGTTGATGTTAAGTTCGGCAGTTTCATAAGAAAGTTGTGGGAAGACAATGGGTAAATTAGTAATAGAAACAACCTGTGAACGTACATAATCGATGTAAAAAGCTTCTAGGGATTCCGTGGTTCTAGTATTAACACAGTTCAGTGGGTCATTACATCTCATGTATTACTCGGGCCAGGACGGACTTCTGCTACTAGCCACAATTCGCTCTTCTCAAACCAATGAGAAAACCCACCGTCAAAAACAGGGTTGCAACTACAGTTACAAGGTTTTGTAGACCGACTTCCTCATTTCTTTCTCTCTTACTTTTAGCACCCGGGTATAGGATACGGACAAATCACGTCTCACTAAAGAACAGGAGTAGAAGTAGTAACTTAAGTCGGGTCGGACTTAGCAGAGGGCCAAGACGCCGCGTCACTTACCGTCGAGTCGAGGCCCGACGCAATTACACACTCGGACGGAATTTCAACAGGGAATAGACAGCCTTTTATCTTGTTTTACAATTTCCAGGGTACAGTACGGTAAAGATGACTAGTATTAAGGTAACAACTCCAGACGATTTTTATCTAAATGTAACAAGTTACAAGGTTTTAGTGTAACTTAAAGAGTATGTCGTGGAGGAGACATATCATACACATAAGTGAGAGACAGGATTTGCCGGAAACAACCTCGAGGNAGAGGATATCATATTTACATATTCAACATTTACAAATACCCAGAGTGTCAGAAAGCATTTCATTTAGACGTGCCTTAAATACATTCAGAGAAATAAAAACGCTCAATTTCAATTTTGCCTGTAGACTGTTCCAAGCAAGTGGAGCTGCGCACATAAAAGCTGACTTCCCTAAGACAGTCCTTACTCTTGGCTCCTTTCTCTTACTTAACGTATCTCTATTGTATAACCAGTCAATATCAACTGTTTTCTGCATGTTAACAGAAGGACTGTCAGTTGTTATGACAGACATGATATCTTATTTACAGTTTGCTTAAAGCAAATGCATCAATGCAGCCTGCATTTCATACATTCAATAAAGAAAGAAAAAACACATTGCAAAATTCGAAGATTAGACATAATGGATTGACATGGCACAATTACAGTAACAGTTAAAATGAACCTTTTTCTAACTAAAAAGTATTTAAAGAGTTCACCTTGCTTGCCGTTTGACAGGTGTATCACTCTTTCGTTGTAGATTGTAGAAACCCTTTTGCTATTTTTCTTTTATTTAGGTTAAATGTATCATATATCGAATGCCGTGTTTTATTCATAAAGTGCAATACATAAAAGGACATTCTAACACTCATCTTGATTTTAGTTTTACTAAAACTGAAAGTATAATATGTTACAATAAATGTTTAGGTCCTGTTTAACACTCCAGATTGTGTTTCTCTTTTGAACAGCGTGAACACACATGTCGATCAAATCAATATGAAAACAAACATACAATACTAAAAAGTAAAGCATTCTAGAGATTATATGAAAAAGACACCGGAATCTGGGGCCCTCCCGGCTCGCGCTGTTGTTGATTGTTGATCGGTATCCTGCGTAACTTCCGCCACGTGGTCTGCGCTCAAACTCCCGCCCGGAACAGTCATTTGTCAACACTGCTGCAGGTCAGACCGGTCTGTGTCTTTGTCCTCTTCGCCCAGTTTTACCAGAATGGCTGCAAATAAAGAAGAACCAGACATTGACGATAGTCTTGCCAGCGAGGAGGAGCTCGAGCAGGCCCTGGCTGTGCTGGCTGGAAGCGACCCAGAAAACTGCTCCTATTCTCGGGTAAGAAAAGCTCCCTGCAGCCGTCGCCTTTATCCGCCTACTGTCGCCTCGTCGCTTTTTGCAAAAACAAGCACTGCACAGGGTGCACCATGTAGCTGACAATTAAACAGTAATGTTTTTTCACGTTATACCTATTTATCGTAAGGCTTGTTGTTTCCAAGGGGCACTCAATAGAAACACTATTAATTAAAAAAACACCCTTTGTATCTTTGCAGTATTACTAATCAGAGTATTTAGAATAACTACTTAAGTGCTAAATGACACGGGATATGGGATCAATAATATGTGGATTGCTGTATCTTTATTTCTCTTTCTCTATTTTTGAGAACCTTGCTAAAGGCCTTGTCATGTCATTATTAGTAGGTGGTGAATTTGATCCACTACAATTTGCGTATCGGGCAGGGTGAGGCGAAGAGGATGCAAAGCTTTTTGTACTGCACAACCTCCACAAAAACCTTGAAAAGACACAAGCTCGTGCTAGGCTTTTGTTTGCTGACTTTTCTTCAGCATTTAACGCAATGCAGCTGTTCATAACCAATTGCCCCTTGCAGGATTAATAAAGTTGTTGACCGATTGATTGTTTCAGGGCTATGTAAAGAGACAGGCTGTGTTTGCCTGCAGCACCTGCACTCCCAATGCTGCAGAGCCTGCAGGAGTGTGTCTGGCCTGTGCCAATAAATGCCACGAAGGACATGATATCTTTGAACTATACACCAAAAGGTAGTGTGTGTGTGTGTGTGTGTGTGTGTGTGTGTGTGTGTGTGTGTGTGTAAACTGCTTATAAAAAATCATTCCTACAGCTTGCTTTGTCCTTACAAAATGTTTACTGTTTTTCTGTTAAGAAATTTCCGCTGTGACTGTGGAAATGGCAAGTTCGGGGAGTTCAAGTGCCAGCTAATTCTTGTGAGTCCTCTGATTTTCTTAAGATTGTCCAACTGAATCACCGCCATTTCTGTTCTGAAGTTGTTCCATCTCTTGTATTCACAGGCCAAAGATGAGCAAAACGACAGAAATCAATACAATCACAACTTCAACGGCCGCTACTGCACGTGTGACCGGCCGTACCCAGACGCAAACGATCAGGTAATCCTTTTTATTTTTCATCTCTGAGATAATGCAAGTCAGATTATTGGATTAAATATAGTTTTTATTTGTCCGTTACACAAAACACCTTTTTTTATTTACCCAATAGTCCAACGATGAGATGATTCAGTGTATCATCTGTGAGGATTGGCTTCATAGCATGGTGAGCATGTTATTAAAACAACATTTCTGAGCATCTTTCTAATTAAATGTACATTCATGTCACAGCTATAAGACTACCGCTCATTGTGTAGTCATTTGGTTTGTCCTTGACAGCACCTGGGCTGCACCACAGTGGAACCTGATGAGCTGCAAGAGATGATATGTGAGACCTGCATGAACAAGTTTCCCCTCCTGTGGACGTATGCTGCTCACTTTGCAGGTAACTTATATCCTGAGCTTCTTCTTACAGCAAATACAAACCCACATTCAACACAAATGTACAGAGAGTCATTTTTCCATTGGTGTTTGCCCTTCAGCACCACCTGTGATCAGTGTCAGTCAGCCTGAAGAGGAAGTAGAAGTCGATGTAGAGGAAGGAGCAGAAAAGGAAGAGTCCAGTCCAAGCAGAGATGAGGAACCGTCCACCAGTGTCGAGCACACAAAGCAGGAGGTGAGAAACCTTGCTCATGAGACCCTCTGTTTCTAAGTACAGTATGCATCAAGGGGTTTTCCATTATTAAGAGTGAAAACAGATATAATTGAGATAAAGTGAACAGGATACAAACTAACACCAACTAAAAACTGGTGCTTCCCCAGCTTTAAAACTAATTTCTACGTAGAGGCTTTTAGAGATTATAAAAGTTCCCATGTTAGCTAATGCCTACGTCCATGTCACCTGACAACTTAAAAAGCAGTTTCAAGGATTCATTAAATGTTACATCCAAAACCTGGATTTATTTAAATTGAACATGTTTGTTATTTTTATTTTTTTCATATTATTAAGTGCCATGTTGAAACATGTTTAAGCTTTCCCAGTCGCAGTTGCAACTTGGACGATTGAAAAAGACAAACACATTAACGTCTCCTGTTGTAACCTTTCCATTTATGGTTTTGGTTTATCAGTCCTTCAATTATGCTCATTTTAGATTAAAAAAATGTATAAAGAAAACATACCCTCGCCACAAGTTCATTAAACATGTCATGTTAAATGTGGATGATAATTCAATTTGATACAATATAATGTTTGCATCGAATAGTATCATGGATACACAATCAAGTCAGCTAAATTGATATTACCTCTATTTTCTCTGTCTCAGATTGTTTATTACACAGATGCGGGCCCGCTCTTCAGCTGTTACTGATTCACTTATGTCAAATCATTGATTCACCAAACAGAGGCGGGTGACTGCATGATGAGGTTGAGGGTAGCGTCAGTTGGGCCTGATTTTTTTATTTTTTTTTCTGTCCATTTTTCTCACACCAAAAGATAACTTTGATATGCTACTCCTCCTTTTACCCACCTCACTTGAGAATCAATTTATCCAGCTTTAATTATGTGTTGCTTAATAAAAAAGAAGCAAAGTAAAAAGAAAGATCTGAGTCAGATTTCCCTGAAGATGAGATGTAAAATATTTTGAGGGGACTATTGTTTAAAGATTGTGGTTTTACTTTTACATCACAATTTATATTGCCACTCAATGGGATTAACAAACTGTTCTCCAGTTATATCAAACTATTGTCTTAATCTGATTACTCTTTGCATGTAAGCATTGTAAGTGTAAAGCCAGGAACAACTACTATAGATTCAATTACATTTTTATTTTGAAGTTCTTGATTAGTATAGATTGTTTTGTTATTGTTGGAGTATGTATGAAGTATTGCTCATTGAGAAAATGCTCCATACTTTTATGTGGACTTTCCATGTATAATGCAAGGATTTGTTTCAGAAAAGGTCCCTAAAGGCTCAGTATTTGTGGGCTCTCTGCACATTCCTCCTTGGCAGCTGGTGTTTTGTAGCCACAAGATGGGGCTGGAGGGTAATGAGCAGATTATAGAGCAGGCTCCAGTTATCATGCTTTCCCCTTCCTCTGGGTAATTAAGGGGGAAATGACCCATGAGGCACTGCTTCTCCTGCTCTGTAGACAGCTTTGGCCAGGCTTCACAGGACAGCTTACTGTAAACTGGAGATTTTCATCACCCAATCATCTCATCGTGTCAGTCGCCTTGAGACTTCCCCAGAGCTAACTGGGCTGTGTGCGGAGATGTTATAAAACCCAAGCTTTTATCATTTATTTCTCCTGCCAGTTTTCTTAAAAGTAACTCACTCCATTCTCTGTTATTATATGTATCCTAGGAAGCAGCAAACAGGAGTTCCCCTTGCAAGCGGACCCACGAGGAAATGACAGGCAGCACTGCAAACGCCACGACAAAAACCGTTGTGTGCCGGCTTGAGGAGCTGCAGGCCGAGGGTCCGGACCGGCAGCGGCAGGGGGCCGTGTTCTGGCCCTACAGCTGGCGCTCCCAGCTCTGCACCTGCATGAGCTGCAAGGTAGGCCGCAAACACTGGTTCATAATTTTTTTGTCAATTTCCTCTTGTTTGTCTTGTCTTACCCCGGCTGATACTTCACTCCACTAAATCCACTGTTTTAATTGTTCCCTATATTGCCCCTATGCCCTGTAAGGTGTCCTTGGGTGTTATGAAAGGCACCCCCCAAAATAAATGTATTATTATAATGTTGACTCTACATGTGATCATGCTTCATGCAAAAGTGTCTATGGAGATTGATTAATTCATGTTTTTCCTTCCTTGCGTTGCACAGAAGCTCTATGTGGCTGCCGAGGTGCAGTTCCTTATGGATCAGTCCGACACTATTCTGGCCTATGAGAACAAAGGCATGGACGAGCCATTTGGGCAGCACCCGCTGATGGCGCTGACTAACTCGATGGACCGTGTGCAGCAGCTAGAGGTCATTTACGGTGAGTACGGGGAGGATAGGGTCATTTTTCCCTCCCGAGGATGTACATTAATCATGCAGAGTGATATTTATTGCAGAGGCGATTGGTCGAGACTAATTAATCATGTGGTCCTCCCCTCAGGTTTCAACGAGTTCACAACTTCGATGACTGCGTTTTTAGAACAGTGTGTTGCTGAAGGAAAGGTGAGGAATGAATGTCTGAGTGCAAATATAGTCTGGAGCATAATAATTTAACATAGCAAGGCCTGTGATGTACTGGATCCACCTGTATTTAATTATGACCCACGTGCAATAGGTATTAGTTTCATTTTACATGCCATGTTGGTATACTGGGTGTTATGTGTGCTTTTAAACTCTAATTCTCAGACCTGAAACACTGTCTCTTTCAGACGGTCACAGTCGAAGCTGTTCACCAGTTCTTCGAGGAGCTGCGGGCTAAAAAGAAACGAAGGACCAATGCAGGGAACCAGTAACAAGGAGGCCATGCTGCCATCATATATGCCTGCTTCATATGGTGCTTTGAATGAATGTGGAAATGAGAAAATCACCCTTTTTTTCCTTGTTAAATAAAGGGGATTCTCGCTGCAACCAATGTGATCCTAAAGCTTGAACAACTAGTGCAAAGAGTACTAACATGCTGTTAAGAAATGTTACTTCTAGTGAGTTTCATGTTCAATTGTTTTTATTGATTTAAAAGAATGCCTTAACTCTGAAGTTCATAATGAATGTTACTTGAATCGTTGATGAGCAAAATAAATTTTGTTCCAGCCCGATATGCTTTAAAAATATTTAATTTGTTATGTTATGAGTCCATCAGAGGAACATTGCAATGTCATGTGTATTCCTGTTCAGTCTGTCATTTTAATACGATGTGTTTAAATTGTGTTTTCTGGGGGCGACAAACATGTTTGTAAAAGTGATGTAAACAAATATCGCTGTTTTATGTGGATTGTTTCAAATAAAAATATCACGTTTCTAGTGAACAAAACGACCCAACTGAGATCAAATAATTTCGATAATATCAAACCAGTTTATTTTGAGGATGCTCAAGTTGACCACTGTTATGCACCTTTTGAGGTGACAGTAGAAAAATAGATTCAGTGAAACTAAATGCAACTTAATATCAATCTACAAACATGTTTTCTATGATACCATACAAGTACAAAGTACCTGTTGTATTTCAACACAAGCAATCACACATTTCAGATGGTTCCATTTCAAAAGGTGCTAAATAACACTGTACACAAAATGAGCTACATGAGATTTGAAAGGACTATTTGATGCAGGCTGGTAGAAAAGAGCTTGCATAGACATCAAAGTCACTTTTCCAATAAAAGCCCAGCCGCAGGCAGGGGAAGGCACTGACTTCTCTACAGCGAAGAGCAAAACAAGGACTTTTATTCGACGGAACATTGTCCTGGAAAATAAAACAACTGCCCAACATGAACATGGGGAGGAATCTGGAGTTTTGCATTTTTTCCCCATGAAGCAATCTAGATGGAAAAATGATTTTTCTGCTTGGCAACTTCATCACTGCAGAGAGCTAATATCTTCAGATCCTCTACATATTCCTGTTACTTTGAAAGTAAAGAAACATAGGGAAGAAAAAAAAACATCTCTACAAAACATGGTTATCGACACCATCTACAACATTGTACACACTGCCCTAATCGTAACATTTAAGAACAAAATAGATTCTGAGACAATCTTTATGTTTTAGACCACACATTCTTAGTGAGAGTTCATGACAAAGACAAGTACACAGTGTTGTCCACTAAAATACAAACTCCAACAACCACTAACATGTGATAGAAACCATTAAACATTTCTCAGAACGTGTGGAGCTCAATTCATTATATACAATTTCCATTGGAGATGTGAGCCAGCAATCGCCAACTTTTCTTCCGATTCCTTTTGTTCAAAACTCATTTGTTCTTTTTCCCTTCAGCTAATGGACAGGTGGCTCCTACAGTGCAATGGAACTCACATGTGTGGTTTTATACCAGCTGCTGGCTGCAACAGGCTTTCATGTGTATATTTGCATGGTTCTTTAGCTACAGCTGCTGCAGCTCTTAACAGCATATTTAACAGTATCAACACTGACTGTGCAGGTCCACAGTCTGCCATAGGGTGGCGTCATGGAGGCAATGATGCATGGTTTCAAATGTTGGGTTAGGGGTAGCTAATGTGTCTTTTGTGATCAGAACAGTCAAATAAGCAATTAAACGGGGTTGCGATATAATGACATCATTCTTAATTGAACAAAGGAAAACTGGATATTCCAAGCACTGCTTAAGGCTTTAGATTTCTTTACTTGATGCTATTGGATTAAACAGAACAAGATAATCTAGCACGTTAACCGCAGCACTGTGCCACAGCTTCTTGTTAATCTGACTCTGATACGTACAAACAGACCTGACTAAAGATGGGAGTGTACAGTACTGAGATTGTCTAAACACCTGTGTGTATCAAAGTTATCCTCACACACAGACTCACACGCACAAACATACACCTGTTTCAGCTGAAAAAACAACAAACCCCTATTATTCTAGTCGATCACTGTACGTCAGTTGCCATGGCACCCCTATATTTCCACTGTATCCCAGCAATGAAACCTGCTCGCGATCCACCTGCCCCCCAACCCCTCTGAAAACACAAGGCCTTTGCCTCCAAGCCAGACACTCAAAGGCTGCAATAGGTAAAGCCTGACACAATTATCAGACTGGGTTACCGGAGAATGATGACCTACTTCCTGTCGGATCCAATTCCTGCTTTGTGTGACCAAACCTTGGCCCATTACTCATCAGCACTGCAAAACCAAGGCCGGGAGGAGAACATTAGTTAAGAGGGTTGCTATAGGCATGCTACAGGAAGAAATGGAATTAGGAGGAAAAGAATACAGCCAGACGTATTTACATATGATTTTATCATAATACTCCCTGTCCCAGACTGTACCATTGCTTGTGTAAATTGAGATTCCTATCCTGACATCTCCCCATTCAATGCTGTAAAAAAATCGAGACAACAGGGTCTATGAATATAATCTTTGTTAAACCATCAGTTCATAACTGAGCTACATATTCTAGTTTTGTGACCACCTCTTGCAGGACTCACCAAAAAAAGAGCTAACCTCTTTCTTTACAATCAAACTCAAGTCACCAATCCATACTAGTAGAGCCTGAGTCATCCTCTAAACCAGCAGGACCAGGCAATCAATTACAAGCATTGACAATTACCATACAGCTCTTACTCATTCCATACTCTGACTGTGTGATGGATAGCACAGTGTGATAGAGGTAGGACAAAAAGGACAGATCCTATAAATAGCAACCATCGACCACCCCTCTCCCCTGCTCCTATCTCTCACAAACACACACACACACACACATATACGCAGGCACACATTTAGTGCTTCGCCATCCATTGTGATGGACAGCCACTCATCATGCTTTCCCTTTTCTTAACTCAACCCCTGCCCCTACGGGGGTTAAAGTGCAGACTTCTTATAAGGGTAGTCAGGCTTGCTGGGTGACCTGCGGTCCTCGCTGACACTGTTCCTGTGAGGCTGCTGAAGGGACCCGGGGCCCAATGATTCTCCAGATAGAACCATCTCCTCCGGGGCATCCCGTGGTCCTGTGTGCCTCTCCTCATAGCTGTCCATGTTCCCACTGGGAGACCGTAAATGGCCTAAGCCGTGAGTCAGGTCTGTCTCATTTGATCGTCCCCTTGGGATGTGCCCCATCCTAGGCTGGGCCCCAGAAGGGCTGGCTAGGACTCCATCATGCCTCTGAGAGGTCATGCTGAGGACGTCCAGACGCAGCGGGTCTGGGGCAGTCCGTCCCTGCGTGCGGGCCTGGGGCTGAGAGTCAGAAATGTAGGGAGGTGGATAAGAGCTGTGGCTGTAAAGGTCTGGTCCTGCAAAGGAGGGCAGGGGGTGAGCGGAGGTCGGGGTCGCAGGTCGGCAGGAAAAATCATACAGGTCAGGGAACTCGGCCTGAGCCTCCAGCTTGGGCTCCGGAGCGTGTCTCTTGCAGGAGTGGCCATGTCCCGGACCGTGGCCGTGGCGGGCAGCGGGGCAGGGTCCGTGAGGCAGATGGTGTCCGGGTGGGCCCATCGGGCTGTGAGGGCCGTCCCTGTCCATCTCTGCCATGTGCTGATCCCTCAGGGACATTACAGAGACGCCCAGTGCAATGTCAGGCATGAACTCCCTCATAACAGGCTCCAGGTTCATCTGAATCAGAAAACACATACAAACGTGTTACGTTACCTGACATTTGAGTAACTTGTGATCCCAGGCACAACCTACAAAGCTGCATTTAAATAAACACAACCATAACCCCAAGGACTCTAGGAAGTAACACACGACTCACCGCTTGCTGGTCTGAAAGCAAAGCTCGGCCCATAGCCTGCGGGTTGGTGCAGTCCGGGGGCTGCGGCCTGGGCACAGAGGAGTATTCTGAGCTGCCATGCTTAGCGGCCGCATGGCGCTGGATCAGGGTGCGGTTGCAGGGGTAGGAAAAGGAACGGGTGGGGGTGGGCATGGGCACACGGGGACGCCAGGCACCCTTGAGCTGAGCATGGCTGGGTGTGGCAGGGGGGTGGTATGGGGGAGGTGGAGGAGGTAGGGGAGGGTGGAAGCCCACTACCCCTTCCAGCTCTGTGAACATGCTATCCATGGCTGGGCTGCTGTTTACCCGACACCGACCCACCTTGCGCAGAGCCAGAATTGGACTCTCGTCTCCAAACCGTTCATCAGGGAAGAACTTGTACGGGTTCTGAAAACACAAAAAGACAACCGAGGTTATAAAAAAAGTAAAAACTGTGTCGATTTGGAGCTGACAAAGATTTTTCTTAAGATTTATCTTCCTGTGGTTTTTCAAGGTCTTTGTTCCCCCCCTGTTAGACATGTCCTATCATCCCCTCCACACCCCGGGGACAAACTGCTTCACACTGACCTGCAGTAGCTCAGTGGCTCCGTCTGCGAGACCGAACTCCCTCAGAACTCGCAGCTGCAGCTCATAGCTGACGGTGGCTCCTTCACCACAGTTGAGGGCATAAGCTCTCTGGACCTGCTCTGTGTGCCTCAGTTCCTGCAGCCTCCGGATCATCTCCTTCACCACAGACAGCTGGGGCACTGAAAGACGCACACAAAAAAGCACATTCATTGATGGATGGATCACTTTTGTATACGAGCAACATGTTAAGGATACATGAACAGTTTGGTTTTTGCTGACATGAGCACCGGCAATCCTCTTACCTGGAATTTCATTGGCCACAACTGATGGAGCTATGTTGGAGTTGCTGGCCATCTGCTGGTGGTTGATCATGTGACAGCACTGAGGCACGGCGTTGTTGACCATGTAGAGTGTGTCTGGGACGTTGGACATGCGCACTAAGCGCAAACGCACCAGGTCCGTCTGCTCCACCATCATTTCATCAAGCACAGACTGAGGGGCAGGCAGACGAGAGAGGGCAAGTTAGACCAGAACTTCTGCGAAATAAAAACTCCTATGTGCAGCTCAAGGACACAGAGGGTTTGCAAATGAGTTCCACTTGATTGACACTTCCTCTAATGATGAATCTCTCTGGTCTTGGGAAACGTTCATAAATATTCATGACCCTGGGAAGCCCTATAAGTTATTAGGAAAATGTGCAAATGGACATAAAATGTATTTCAGTCAAGATGATGGAGGCTGCTCTTTGAGAAGGTGAGTATGCATAGCAACAGCAGGGCATGTTTGATCTTAACACTTTCTGAGCTATGAATAGGTCCACACCTTTTCCCAACACACCTAATGGTTAGTCTGTCCTCTTCACAGAACCTCTGCTCTCTTTGATGATAGCTAGTATAAGGGGCACCAAATATGCCACTGCTTCCTGCGTTGTCTGAAGGCCCCATTAAATCAGAAGTGAATGAGCCTTACCTTAGCCTCCTCCACATAAGGAGAGAAGAGGCGGGGGCGCACATAGATGCCAGCACTCTTCTGCC